TGAAGCTCATGGAGAGAATGCCAAGAGTGTGCAAAGCAGTAATCAGAGCAAAGGGTGGCTATTTTGAAGAAACTAGAATATAAAACATGTTTTCAGTTATTTCACCTTTTTTTGTTAAGTACATAACTCCACATGTGTTCATTCATAGTTTTGATGCCTTCAGTGAGAATCTACAATGTAAATAGTCATGAAAATAAAGAAAACGCATTGAATGAGAAGGTGTGTCCAAACTTTAGGCCTGTACTGTATATATATATATATATATATATAAATATGTATATATTCTGGGTCGCTTTTTGGCATCAAAACAACGTTTTTGATAACGTTTGATAGCAAATGTTAACAAACGTTAATTACAAACGCAGTGACGTTTGCTAGCAATATGTTTTTGCATTAATGAATTAACTTAATTAACTTATAGTTTGAGATATGTTGTTTGCAACTGTTTGCTGAAGAGCATAGTAATTTATGTGAATAAATAAACATATTCCTTTTACATTAACTCCCTATTATGCTCATAAGTTATATGAAACTTCCCCAGGAGCACTGTTAAAGTATTTTGGAGGAGGCACTGACTCAGCCCAGGGGCAGTCCACCTCCTCAGGCTCAGCCAAGGATAATGAATCAAGTGAGGGAAAAACTGTCACCATATTTAATTTCTTGTCAAATTATCTCATTAAGATTAAGATATACTAATATAAGATATAATCATATGACAAGGGACATGTTTTTCATCTTAGGTCCATCTCCATCCTCCACTCCATCCACTGTGCCCACTGTCTCCTCTATTTCTGCTGCAACCTCAGCTGTACCTGGTAACAAAAACAGCCTTTGTAATTGCTCAGTGTGGAACATTCTAAGATGAATAATTTTCAATATAAGACATAATCATACGAAAAGGACAAATGCATATTATTTCAAAACTTCTCAAGCAATTTTCAATTATTCCACTGGCAGATTGTTTTCTTATTTCAAGCTATAGCTGTACTATTTTATTTAGAAAATAAGCAGCATCATTTTCAAGTGTAATATGACATCTAACATGACTAGCTTTTGTTGTTGTTTTTCATCTTAGGTCCATCTCCAGCCTTTGCTCCATCCACTGTGCCCACTGTCCCCTCTGTGTTGCAGTTTATTTAAAACAAAAAAATAATAAAGCAGATTGTGTTTACAGTAAATGGTTTATTTTGTTACTTTTAGTTGGCCTAGATGACATTTGGTATCCCACTTAGTACTATATCACTTTGAGTATTGAGTGTAAATCAACCCTCGCTGCTCTTGTAGCTGAATTTGCTACCATTTCAGATTAAAAACCATAAATGGGTAAAACATGCCGGGTTATTCTTTGAGGTTTTATGTATTGATTCTCTGTGTGGCCAGTAGGGGGAGTTGCTGACTTTGCCAGATATTAATTGAAAGATTTTTCTGCAAGAGCATATACCAAGAGCATGGTGTAGGGCAGGGGGTGTCCACATTCCTAAGGAGAAGGAGTCTGTGGACCTTAGCCAGTTCCGGATGATTTCTCTCTTGAATGTGGAGGGGAAGAATTTCTTTAGTGTAGTTGCGCAGAGATTAGCTAGCTACTTAGAAAGGAATAGCTTAATAGATATCATGGTGCAGAAGGCAGGAATACCAGGTTTTTCAGGGTGTTTAGAGCATACTAGGATGATCTGGCACCAGATTCAGGCAGTGAAGATTAACAAAAGGGACCTGCATGTAATATTTTTAGATCTTGCAAATGCGTTTGGTTCAGTACCGCATAGCTTCATTTGGAGTGCGTTTGACTATTTCAGAGTGCCACAGGTAGTTGTCAATTTAGTGCAAGCATACTTTCAGGATATTAGGTTGTGTCTAAGTATGGCAGGCTTCACAACAGGTTGGCAGAGGCTAGAAATAGGCATTATGGCAGGGTGTACAATTTCTCCATAAGCATTTACTATTGCGATGGAAGTAATCATCAGGGCTTCTAAGTGGGTGGTAGGTGGAGAGAGACGGCAGAACAGGTTGCATCTTCCACCAGTTAGGGCTTACATGGATGACATGACACTGGTGACCACAACAATGCCATGTACAAAGAGGCTACTAGAGAAGGTAACTAAGAACCTCAAGTGGGCCAGCATGAAGATCAAGCCTAGTAAGTCTAGAAGCATCTCGATAATGATGATGAGGAAATCCCAACAATTAGGGAAAAGTCAGTAAAGAGCTTAGGTAGGTGGTACAATGTGGAGTTGAATGATAAGGAACAGGTGGTGAAATTTAGAAAAGATGTGGCAGGATTGGATAGAATAGATAAATCAGAACTTTCAGGAAAGTTGAAGTTGTGGTGTTGTGGTGAAGTTGGGCTATATCCTAGGTTAATGTGGCCATTGTTAATTTATGAAATTCCAATATCCGTTGTGGAGAGAATTGAAAAGTCAGTTAGCTCCTATATTAGGAAGTGGTTGGGCGCTCCTAGGTGCCTAAGAAGTGTTGCATTGTATGGAAAAGGGATACTTCAGCTACCAGTATCTAGTTTAACAGAGTAATTTAAATGTACCAAGGTCAGGACAGAGCTCTTGTTATCTGGGAGTAAGGACGTGGTAGTTAGGAGTGTGGTTCCAAATCCAACCAAGGGGAGGAAATGGAACCCAAGATTGGCAGTTCAGGAGGCAGAGGCAGCTCTTAGGCATGCAGAGATTGTAAGTAATGTTCAGTTTGGCCGGGGAGGCCTGGGGCTTGGCTCAGGCAAACCGGTATGGAATAAAGGAGGGATCGACCTATAATCGGCACTGCCGATAATATCAGCCGATATTCAGCATTTTTATGATAATCAGCATCGGCCGTTTTTTCCACCGATAGCCGATAAAATATGTTTATTTTAATTAAAATACATTTATTTTAATTAAAATGCGCTCCTTTGGCTCACATGCAGCCGTCTCTCTCTGCCTGTCTGCCTGAAGTCTCCACTCTGTGCTGTGTAACAAATGTCCTACCTACAGCCCCCACTGATTGGCTACACGGCACAAGTGAGTGACAGCCAATCAACACTGAAGGTAGCGGCACAGAGAGAGAGGAGGGGAGAGAGGACTGCTCCGTGAAGCAGCAGTGTGATGTTTGAAGGTAAGGCAACAGAAAATGTCGAAGTTGCAATAAGAAATCCTCTATGCTGAAGTTTTAAAGACACCACTGTTGATGCTTGATAAACACGCCATCTTCATACTGTATCTCAGTGTCTGTCCCCCCCCCCCTCACGCAGTTGCTCGCGAGTCGCAACGGGCAGCCATTGGAAACAATAATGTCGTCTAAAACTACTTCACATCGGCTGCTAAAGCTAACGGACATGTAGAAGTTTACTTCAGTGCATTTCAGCTGTGTATGGTCGGTATGGCGCTTGCTTGTGTGTGTGTGTGTGTGTGTGTGTGTGTCACGCTGAGAAGAAACTGTTGTCTGTGTGCAGCTATGTTGACATGGACTCTGTGTGTGTGTGTGTGTGTGTGTGTGTGTGTGTGCGCGTGCGTGTGTGTCTGTGTACATGCACGCTAGCTTCAGCAACTGATGTGAAGTTGTTTTGTAGGCTTCATTAGTTCATTTAGACATGCATTTAAAAAGTATAGAAGAATGTCAATTAAATTTACTTGGCATTAAAGTAAAAGTACTCATTTTGCTGAAAAAATGAAATGTGACTGGTATATTAAATACATGTAATTACAAATTACTTTAATAAAAATAAGTCTGGTAACTACTGAAAGTTTAATCTTTATTTATAAACTAATTATGCTATTTGATGTAAAAAAAAACAAAAAAACAATAATAATCTGAAAAGTAATAACTGCTAAAGCTATCAATAAATGAAGTGAGCCAAGGTTCCTGTTCCTGCCACCCTCTTTATTGGTTTGCGCTTAATCAGGCTGGATCAGATGTACCTGAGAGAGAACATAAGACATCATTAATTAACTGTTATTCATATATCATAAGAGCAGAAAGTAAGTAAAACAATTCTCTATTAAATATAGTGGAGTGGAAGTGAAGTAGCATCAAATGGAAAAATAAAGTACAAGTACCTTAAAAATGATCCTTTAGTAAAGTACTTAAGTAAATGTTTCTTTCCACTACTGTATTTAAAGAATTGAAACCAACTAGAGACTTTCCAAAGCTGTTTTGCTATAATAAATTAAGTATATTTATATTGTATATACATTTTCACTTTTTAACTCACTTTTTCTTTATGTCTGTCTTTTTCTAAATCCTCATTACAGATGGATGGATCAAAGAGGAGGAACCAACCCCAGGAAAGGCAGTGTGTAATACCTGCAAAGAAAATGTCAGCATGGGAGGAGGAACAAGGGCAAAAATGTTTTAATACGTCAAACCTGTGGTCCCATCTTAGGATCCATCACAGTGACTTGTATGCAACTGCACAGTCACAGCTGGGGACAGCAACTTCATCTCAGGCAGGGACAACAACTTTATCTCAGCCTATAGTACAAGAGCTGTTTCAAAAACAAAGAATGTGGACAAATTCAGATCAACGATCCAAACTGATTGACAAACTAATAACAGAAATGATAATCACTGACAACCAGCCATTCACAGTTGTCTCTGATGTTGGTTTTAAGCGCCTCATGGGAGCAGCAGCACCACAATACTCACTGAAAAGTGAGAAGTACTATCGCACTGAAATGCTCCCAGAAGTTCACCAAGAGGTTGTTGAGAAGGTAAAAGCCCTGATCCAACCAGGGAATGCTGGCCATGCACCCTCTTTCACTACAGACTACAGAGCCTCACATGTCACTTCACTGACAATGAATGGAACAGAAAGCAGGTTGTTTTGAACACAAAGGTAATGCATGGATCCGACACGGGGGAATACATCAGACAGACATTCCTGGGCATGCTTCAGGATTGGAACATAAACAAAGACTGTGTCACACTTGTGCTTCGAGACAGCGGAGCAAATATGGTGAAAGGAATGAGGCTCGCTGAACTTCCAGATCTCAGCTGCACAGCGCACTCTTTGCAACTCGTGGTGAATGATGGTCTGTCAAGTCAAAGGGCAGTTACAGATATCATTGCAATCATCAAGAAGTGTGCCACCCATTTCCACCACTCGATTCTTGCCAAGCAACGTTTGAAAGACATTCAGAAGGACCTTGGCCTGCCACAACACAACCTAGTCCAGGCTGTTCCAACAAGATGGAACTCAACGCTCCACATGCTGCAAAGAGCGCTGGAGCAAAAGTGTGCTCTTAACATCTACGCTGGTGAGCATGGAGGATTTGCATATCCTACTGCTTACCAGTGGGACATTGTGTCCAATTTGGTCGAGACTCTCATCCCAATAGAGGAAGTGACACTAGAGGTAAGCTCTAACAGTGCATCAGCATCCTGCATTATTCCCTGTCTGGCCGTGCTAGAGATGCTACTTCAAGATGGTGGGCCCTTGACACAAGGCATCGGAACACTCAGGCAAGCCATGAGGGAGAGCTTGATCAAATGCTTCTCAAAATTAGAAGACATGAAATCTGTGGTGCTGGCATGTCTCCTAGATCCTCGTTACAAGAATCATGTATTCTCCTCTGACATTACGTTGTCCAAGGCCAAAGAATGGCTGAATGAGGATGTGGAAAGTGCGGCAAAACAGAGCAGTCAAGAAGAACATGCTCCTGTATCCTGTATTCACCGTATTGATGAGATGTTCAGTTCTCTGCCAGGACCCCACACTGGTGAGCCGTTGGCCAAGGTCTGCCTTGATGATGAGTTACAACTGTACCTCAAGGAGCCAGTCATTGACAGGCGTAAGGAGGATCCACTCCAGTGGTGGAAACAAAATGAAGGCCGCTTCAAGCTACTTACCACACAAGCAAGAAAGTTTCTTTGCTCATCACCCTCTTCTGTTCCGAGCGAGCGTGTCTTCAGTGAAGTCTCTGCAATTTATGAGAGGAACAGAAGCCGTCTCACAGGAGACCATGCTGAGCAGCTCTGCTTTCTGCACCACAATATGGTGATACTGGATTGGGCCTATTAACTGAGACTCAAATTTCAGAACTGTACAGTACAGTTCAATTTTTACTTTATTGATTTTATACAAATTCAGGGAGCTATTTTATTTATTTCAGTCAACTTTTATAAATACTGCTAGAAGGTTCCTGCACTTTTTGTTTTTAGATAATTTAACATATTGCTTAAAGGCATTTCAAGTAAGATTTGTGTTCGAGTTTAACAGGAAATGTCTCACAGGAGAGCATACTGAGCAGCTCTGCTATCTGCACTACAGTCTGGTGCTACTGGATTGGGACTAATAGCTGAGACTCAAATTTCAGTACTACAGTTCATTGTTTACTTTATTGATTTTATACAAATTCAGGGAGCTATTTTATTTATTTCAGTGAACTTTTATAAATGCTGCTAGAAGATCCCTGAACGTTTTGTTTTTAGATAATTTAACTTATTGCAGAGACTCAAATTTCAGTACTGTGCAGTTCAGTTTTTACTTTGATCTTATAAAAAAGCCATTTCATTTTCAGTGAACTTTAAGAGATCTCTGCACTTTTTGTTTTTTATATAATAAAACAACCAACCATTTCAACCAAGATTTGCGTCAGAGTTTGTGTTATTCTACAAATGTTTAAGGTCTTTTCATCACAGATTTTCAGTGTACAAAAACAAACAAACAGTATACTGTTTTTTTTTCAGTCTAATCCCAGGTGTGTTATTCTAAATTTTGACACCAAAATTGTAATTTTTACTGCAAATGAATATCGGTTCTAAATATCGGTTATCGGTTTCCTTGACTACTAATAATCGGTATCTGCCCTAAAAAACCCATATCAGTCGATCCCTAGAATAAAGCAGGTCTCAAAGATAAAAGAAAACTGGTCGTGGAACAGATACGTAGACAGGAGGAGATATTAAAGGGTGCAAAGGTAGTGGCCCAGGCTAAACAGGGACAGTGGTTGAATTGGGGAAGTGTAGAGAAGAGGAAGCTTAGTTGGAGGGACCTTTGGAGTATGGAGGAGAATCGTATTACATTCCTGGTAGGGGCTACATACGATGTGCTACCAACCCCCCAGAACCTAAAACTGTGGGTAAATGAGGACCCATCATGCCCATTGTGTTCAGGTACTGCAACCTTAAAGCATATTTTGTTAGGCTGTAAAGTTAGCTTGTCACAAGGCCGATATACATGGCGACATAACCAGGTGTTGAAATGTTTAGCTGCAGGCATCGAAGGGAAACGAAGACAGGTGAATTCAGAAGGTGTTAAGGATAGGAGTTTAGCAATTCAGTTTGTCCATGAGGGGGAGAAATACAGAAGGGATAAGTTAGTGAGGATGCAAGGATGTGGCTGCCTAGAAGGTGCTTGTGATTGGGAAATGCAAGTAGATTTAGGGGGAAAGCTTCTTGTTCCCCAGGAAATAGTTTGTACCAAGCAGAGGCCTGACATAGTGTTGTGGTCAGTAAGTCAACGGATAGTTTATTTCACTGAGCTGACAGTTCCTTGGGAAGACTCAGTGGAAGAAGCCTATGAAAGAAAAAAGCTTAGATATGCAGACTTAGGAGCAGAAGCTGAGCAGCGAGGATGGAAGACTAGGATTTGTCCAGTGGAAGTGGGGTGTAGGGGATTCATAGCAAGATGGGGAACTCGGAGTGTTGGGACAGAGTTTGAGCAAGACAGTGAAGGAAATGTCAGATGAAGCAGTTAGATGTAGCCAATGGATCTTGAAGCGAAGAAATAATGTCAGTTGGGGGCCAGCAGGGGGAACTACTAAGCAGGGTACATAACTCTTTGAGATCAGGTGGAGAGATCCACTTCCTCTCCAGGAAGGTACAGAGAGGAAGGTTATTTAAGTGTGGGAGTGGCCTATTTGAATCCCTTTTGTTTGAGACCATGCTGCAAGGTGAGTGTGTTTGCTGATCCTGTAAGTTTATTTATCTCCTTTAACTTTAGCTTATATTGTAGTTATGCTATGTAGCGTGTGAAATACAGTATGGTGAATGTGCTAGGAAAGGTAATATCAGCACTGCTTCTACCTGGAGCTCGCATGTATGGAGCCTGGGTTTGGTTGAAGCTGGCAGTGCTGTTTGGGCTGAGAAAGCCATGTGTAAGTAAGGTAAAGGAAGTTATTGGGTTGGTGCGGGGAGCAGTGAGACCTGGCATTGGGGGAGTGTCTCTGGGACACCAGAGATCACTGTCTAGCCTCCTGGAGGTGTCTTGGGACCAACTAGACAAAACACTGGTGAAAGGAGGTTCCCACCCGATGACCCCAAAGACATGTTAGGTATCACTGCTCACTGGTCTGTATAGTTAAGCCTTGCCATAATAGCTTATCATAGGGCTTAGGAGGTTATTCACTGAGTGCTGATCCTTTCTCTAGAGCACAAACTTCTTGTGTTTATTTGAATGCAAGTTTGCAAATCTTTTGTCTGCTTCCATGGCCTTAATCACTGTGGATTACAATCTCTACAACAAAAAGTTCTCAGATCTAGTTTTACAAGTGTATCCGTAATGACAGAGTAGAACATGAAATAAGTTACAGTAGGTGTGTGAATGATCAATAATCAGTATTAATGGCATTAATAGAGGGCCCCTATATCAAATTCTGCTTAGGGCCCCATGGAGGCTTGGGCCGGCCCTGGTTTTCAACAACACTGTATGGAGGCAGATCTTTGCACATGAAGTAGGTGATGGGTTGTGTTATTTTTTAGCTCTTTCAGAGTTGGATGGTAGTTTTGTCAAGCTAAGTAAGTCCAGTGATTTTTAGGCAGAGTGGGTTTAGCGTTAGCTTGGCCATCAGCGGCTAATGCCATCTCTGGATGGTGGTGTGTGAGGTGAGCTCTAATGTTTGTAGTATTCCCAGAGTATTTTATTCTCATATGACACTGCTTGCAAGTTGCATGTGTCATATTAAAATCCTCCTTTCCTTCAATGTTAAAAAATCCAAAATAAGTCCAAACGTTAAATGCCAAAGGCACATTTCTGTTTTTTTTCTCCAGTGCCTCTATCTTTATTTTGATGAACTTCCTGCCAAATGCTGCTGACTATTGCTCTCAAATCGCATACTTCTGTACTTGCACTTAATATTTTGAGTGCATAAGTGTGTTCACACTGAGAAGTATGGAAAAATGCAGTGCACTATGAGTACCCGGATGGTGCACTCACAACGGTCAACAAGTTGAGTGTGGAACAACGGACACTTCTCGCCCTCAATGGTCTCCATCTTGGCTACGTAGTAGAAGGGGAGGGACCACTTTTCAAACTGGAAATGGTGGCAGAGGACTGTGTGACCATGAACGTCGCTGCATTATACAAATATACATGTGTTTTTTGAACTAAGCACCACTATAGCTACTGTTGTTGGGTATAAGCCAGCAGTATGTTTATTGGGTTAATTTAGCGGTCTGTAATGATTTGGTACCGCAAACTATAACGCGAATGCTAATGCTAGTTTGCTAACTAGCTAACAGCTGCAGTCGTCATTTCCGGTGCACAATGGCAGTGTTTGGTTTGAGACAACACTACCCTGCCAAAATTTGTGCACTACGCCAATAAGTACATAGTGCACATAGTATACTACATGGAAGTGTACTAACGGAAGTACGCGATTTGAGACACAGCATAGGACTTCCGCTGACCTTAACAGGAAAAAAATCCATCAGCACCATCTAGTGGACAAAAAAGCAATTGATTTTATTGTTCTGTTATCAAAAGTTGTATTAAATATAATGTATATAATAAAAGACTTGGCGTCCATGTATCAATACAATGTCTCCATGCAAAATACTATGCTGAATCGATTTTTTCCCCCACCCCTACTTTCACCCAAAGACTAGTAATTATTAGCAGTACTTCTCCCACCACTTTACAAGAGGTTCCCCCTTGAGCTACAGGCAAGCTCCACAATGAATATAAAGGCAGATGTACCAAAGATAAAAAAAAAAATTATTAAACAAATTTAAAATAACACTCTTTATTAAATACTGTTAAAAATATATGTGTTTTCACTAAACTGGGAATCTCTTAAAATCTACATCACTAATCAGGGAAAGGCTGCAGCTTAATGCAGCAGAGTTAATTGAAGTGCAGGCGCCCTGTAAATTCAATAAACTGCAAACTAGGACACAAACAAAAAAAGAAAATTAACTAATAACAAATGAGCACACTAGGGGAAGGGATACACAAGAGCTTTCAGACAAAGATCACCTGCTGTGCAATATGTCCCGTGCACACATTGCTGCAACTGATCGTCACCTAGGGTCCCTCTGATTAATTACAACACTATGTTTAAAGAGCACCCTATCAAAGAAACACTGAGCAAAGTTGAGCAGATCATCTAGTTTTAGCACTGGCTCTTACAAACCAACTCTGAGCAGGACAGCAGCAAATCAGTGGAATGAAATACACAAAACCAAACTAACCAAAACCAAAAATACTGTCAATCAATCAACTCTAGCTAAAGACAGGCCAAACCCAAATAAAGGCAAAACTGAAGCAGACTAACTAACAGCAAAGCAACTAAAGGCACCTAACTGAATAAATGAAAAGCTGCAACTGAAGCAGAGTAACTGAATACAGACTTGTTGATGCCATACCAAAGACAAAGCAAACACAGCTAGCAAGGCAAAGCAAGGCAGCAGTGCAAATCAAGGTGTCAGCTGCCTTTACGCAACCAGTGAAACAGCCAGGTATCTCTACATTGAATGGTAATCTCTGCCTTCTGTGCAGGCCAGAAACAAGCATACTTGTGCACACACACACCCACACACACACCCACACACACACACACACACACATACACACACATCACAGGACCACAGGTGCCCCAGAACAATGGCCTGTCACAGCAAGCAAAGCTGTTGGGAGTTGTTTATCCTTAGCAAATGATTGGTTAGATCACACTGCAGGGCATTTCCTACTTACCATTCCATTACAAACTCATTACATGTGGTATTGTTCTAGGCATTCCCACTCCTGTGTAGTAATGCTGGCATCACCACACTAAACTTAAGTGGAGGCTGTTGAGGAAGCAGGTTAAGTTTTTCTCGGCTTTACAAACCAGTTATGAATCAATTTTTTGCAGTGCATTAATGATATGTAGCCCCTCTAGGATGTTAATGTTGTGATCACAACAATTAACACAAATTCAGAACATATATCAAACAACGTTAGCTTCGGAGTCCAACCTGTAGCTACTTTAATTGGGATGGTACATACATGTAAGATCAATAGAAGCTGAATAAAAGTCTTCTAACAGCAAGACAGAATATTTGGTAATGCTGTGTTACTAAGCTTCTTGTTTGTTTTTATTGGTAATGAATTTGTTTGAGATGAGCACACTTTCAGGTAGCAAACAAAATGTTAATAAAGACACAAAATCCTCAAATGTTCTCGCTAAATGTTTCCACTTCTACCAGGTTGGAAACTTCTTTTTCAAGGGAGACCTGAGCAAGGGGGCAACAGAAAAAGCTGTAGAAAAAAGCTATACAGATCAGGCAGAGGTAAAACAACACTAAAAGGCAGATAACAATATTAAAAAGGTTAGAATGAACTAAGAACAGAGACAAATTAGTTATTTACCATCAAATTTACAATAGTCTTAAATGTACAATATGCAATTTCCTGCTGCTAGGCATCTATCAATCAAAACAGTAACAAAAGGTGGAGCACTGCCATCACTGCTGTCAGTTTCTCCTGGTGTCAGTTTCACTGGTTCCTGATTCTTTCAGTGTTTATTGTTTATTGAATTATCTGCAGAGGTCTCTTTCTTTCCAAAACAAAAAGACCGGGTGATTAAAATCTGTAAAAATACTGAATAAATCATTTTCAAATGAAAAATCAGTGTTTCTCTCATGCTGTTCTGCTCATCGCAGAGGGACTGCTAGCCCACCACCTCTTAATCTCACCTTTTTTTTCTCCAATATCTAAAGATCCAGATGTTTGATGACTTAAAATCCTTTATCAGGTTAAAACATATTTTTAAAAATGACCAAGATCTGAGAAGTGTATCATAAAAATGTGCCTCAAAACTAGATCAAACGTCAATCTATGAGAGCTTCTTGCAGACAACCTCAACCCTAATGCATGTGCAAAGGGGATATGGCACCACTGACAGATAACAGCGATGAAATGACATGGAGCGTGTCCTTAATTAAAATAACGTATTTCTTTGGGTTTGAAAATTGGAATAATGTAAGTACACAACTCAACAAAATATGTAACATTGGTTTAGTCTTTTTAAGACATTTTAATATGGAAAAGCTTCATATTAGCCCATATCTTTAAATTTGGCCAGACACCAAATTCCTCTATTTAAATTCCATCTGCAGAAGGAACCTAGCAAAGCATGCAGGCCTTGGCTCCCATTTCAGCACATACATTATAAACAGGCTGTATTTTCATCATGTGGAGATCATGTTTTCTTCAAATACAATAAATAATTGGTCACAATAAAGCTACTGTTGATTCCCAGTTACTTGAAAGCCCATTACAACTTTCATCTTGACAAAACATGATTAAGCAGAGAGACCTCTACTGTGTGTCTGCAGGAGGAGCATCCCAACCCTGGTCAGCCGTATGAAGGTGTGTCCCGTACAGCCTACCTTCCAGACTCCCCTGAGGGCAGAAGGATCCTGAAACTGCTGAGGCGAGCCTTCGACCAGAGACTCATCTTCACTGTTGGTCGCTCCACCACCAGTGGCAGGAACAATGTGGTCACATGGAATGATATTCACCACAAAACCTCAACACATGGAGGACCTACTCAGTAAGAACTCTTATTTAGTAACATTACATTGAATTAATGGGTATCACATTATTACCTAATGCACCTGCCGCCCAAATTTGTGCCTATCATGTAATGACACAAAAATATTTTGTGCACTGTACAATGAACTGGTGTGTATTCATTGCTTATTTTTTTACATCTTTGTATTTATGGCAAGAATAATTATTTATGTGACCTAAGTGTAATCATTACTACATAAGTCTGATATGATTTCACAGGGAACACACAACAGGGCCAATGCACACTACTATAACTCATAGGATGTTCACCTGACTGAGAAACTGTCCATATGAAGTGACTGGATTTATGTTATTGTATTTGCAGCTATGGATACCCAGATCCTGATTATCTCAGCCGGGTTCGAGATGAACTGAAAGCCAAAGGAATTGAATAAGTTACTGAGGTTTGTCTATGTAGAGCTAACATGACGCCTTCTAAGGTACAGATTTTTCAAAACTCTGGTTACTGTTTATCAGTCTGAACATGTAAAATGGAGTATTTGCATGCCCATTCTTGATTTGTGTATTGAGCATATACTAGAAACAACAATGGCAGACTACCAGTTTGCTAACGTTTTCTTAGCACTGCTTGATCTAACGACTACTTTAAACTTAAACTTAGTAACGCTACTTCACTTCACGTACAAACTGTACCCAGCGTTTTTGCTCCACCTCAGCATCCACGGTTTAAAGTCCGCCAGAAATGGTGGTTTTGGATCAGGCCCAGTCGAACCAGCAGATGGGACACTTTCCAGAGTGGGATTGTTGTCAATGAGAAGTAGAAGAAAAACTTTTGCATGTCAAGAGCATCATTCGCATCTTTGAGTGAGCTACTTTGGTGTAAAATTGAATGGAAGTCAACAGTGATGAGAGCTCCAGTAGGTGTTTTGGAAGAAGGAACGTTAGCCTGTACACTATAGCCCCATCTTTAACAAACACTTTTGGTATTGTAACTTTGGAACCAAAACTAACCCCTCTGACATGATACCTAGACCCTAGGACTAGTTAGTAAGTATTTCCACTGCAAACAGTCCTCTTAAATGTTGGCTGGGTTGTTATCATTCACTGCTCCATCCAGCTCTCGCTGTATTTCCTCATCAGCAGTGACACAGCTGGAAGTCTGCACCTCATTTATTGTTCACTTTCAGAACAAAACAGAACAGGCTGCAGTGAGAGTCTGTCTTGGTGGGATATTTAAAAATAGCAGGTTTGTGTATTTAGTTCTTCTCAGACAAGCATAAAGGTTTAGTGTTGTTGTAGCCCCCAGGAACTATGCTCACCAATACTTTTTTTTCACCAAGTAAAGATTAGAATATGTCATCCAAGAGAGACAATAAAATCAAATGGAATGGTCAAAGTTGTCATAATGAAATTTAAGGTGTGCTGATGGATTCATATCATCAACTCATGCATTGAGTAACATTACAAATAAATGTTCAACCTTTAAAGTTGCCGGCAGTCGGTTTAGTGAATTAAGTTATTTTTTCTTAGTCTACAGCTGCTGCGAGAGGCAGCAAAACATCATTTCATTTTATAGTTATAGTTAACTCATATATGTAAAACTCCATGGTATGAACAGAGGTTACATAAGTTTCAAAACCAGCCAAAACTCAGCCCTAAGCAAGAGTGACTGCAGTGTTTCTAGCTGCACCTTTTAGTACCAGATCTGTGCGCTAGGTACCCCAACAGAGGAGGGGCCAAAAATGCGGTAAAGAACGGTTCCATTGGTACCATCCACAATTCTTCACAGTGGAGACAGAAAAAAATTCATACCCAACTGACCTGATCTGTACCAGACTGCTTGGTGGGAAATGGAGCTATAATTACCTTGCGACAAGGTAGACTGTTGAAGGCAGCTAACACCTGCAAGTGTTTGGCACAGTGGCGTAAGGAAGTTATGACAGGCCCCACACACAAGTCTCTATTTGTATCTTGACACAAATAGAGACTTGACACTGGATTACATCAACATACATATTACCCAGCCAGCAATCATCACTGCATACCTGAAAAAAATACCAAAGAAAGTAAGAACTTAATCATTTAATTGAATAGTTTTTGTAGTACATGTATAGATTTTATAGCTTATATACAAAAAGCATATTTAAAAAAATGTAAAGAAAAAAAAGAACCATGACGGATGGGTTTGCCTTTATTAGGACATATATAGCAAATGGCACTGTTTAACTTATTTAAGTTAACAATATTCTTTTTGTTATCATTTATCTTTGAAAACAGGTATATTTCAAGCTGGCAATCTGAATCACTTACAAGGACCGGTTCTTTCTACGGGCCACTCCACCCTAGGGGCCCCAGTGCAATTGTACTGCCTGCACCGTCTATATTCACGCCCCTGGCCTGGTGTCATTTTTGCGTTGTAGTGTGCACAGAGATGTTTTGTAATATTAAAGTGGACGGGATTATTTTTGAAACAGGGGAAAATTATCCAGGGATTATGGCACAGAGGACTATGAACGAGGAGGGATACTTAGTGTCATTGTAATGTACTTTGTTATGTACTTTGATGTTCCCCAGTTTTGTTTTTCATCATTTTTTCTTTCTTGTGGCTGTTCTGGCATTATTGTTTGTTGACATTTTTTGTTTTATGTTGGAAATTATCTAATTTGAACTCACTAAATAAACTAAGCACAAAAAGTAAGGAAATTTGTGTGGCAGATTATTTCTTTGTTGTAACAATGCTTCTTGGCAATAAATCTTATACCATTGGGAAGCCTGTTTATTTCCCTTTTAAATGGTGCCACATTTGTACAGAACATGCATTTGTGGGATGAGTAGCAGAGCTGAGTATGTGGGTTGCACCCATGAAAAATTTGCCAATCTGGATGATTGAAGTCTGAAAAAACCAGACATATTGGCGATTTAACAATTTATTCATTTAACAAACAGGAGCCTCAGTAGCATGTGGAAGAACCATACACAGCCACAACAGCCTGGTACCACCTCCTCATGCTGGTCACCAGTCTGGTCACACACTGCTGTGGCAAATTTTTCATGGGTGCAGCCCACATTTTCAGCTCTGCTGCAAATGCATGTTCCTTACAAATGTGGCACCACTGAAAAGGGAAATAAACAGGCTTTCCAATGGTATAAGATCTATTGCCAAGAAGCATTTTTACAACAAAGAAATAATATACCAAACACAAATTTCCTTACTTTTTGTGCTTAGTTTATGTAAAAACTGATTTGAAAAATCAGTCAGTTCTTACTGGCCTGTTGCTGGTTCTTTAAACTTTGTGTGTAAGTGGTCTAATCTGGTGGAGGGACTTCTGGAGTTGGCATTGTATGACACTATTTCACTCCCAGTTGCCACACGGTCACTTCAGTGTACTCTAGAAGTTAAAAAAAATGATAACTCAAGTTTGTATTCTGTCACTTCATTTGGCTCATAGGTTTAAATCCTTTATTGTGTGAAATGTTCGTCTGGATAATTTAACATATTTGTGGTCTGTGCTGAGTAGAGAGGTGAAGTCCCTCCCCTTCCAGCGAACCACTATGGGACCTTATTTTGGAAAGAATATGCAAACATACAAATAATTTGACACCTGATGTCTGTCAATTTAAAAGATAAATTTGTAAGTCACGAAAGTTGCAGTTTGTCATTAAACTTTTGAAGTGAAAGATTGTGTTATTACACAACTGGAAGACTATACATCCAGAAGTTGCTTAAGTGACATGCGGGATGTACTCACATAAGCAACGGTCGCTCATTCTTTTGTTTCCCTGCTGATATAAAGACAAGTTGCTGGATAAAACACATCAGGTTCCATTTGTGTATAAAACAGAGCTAAGTCAAGCAATGAATGTTAGCTAACATTACTGGTGTTGGTAACATATAATGTGTGACATGAAAGATGTAGTTCACTGAGCGGTTCCAAACAAAACTAGTAGTACTTAGACAACCCTTTTAAATATTTTCAGTTTAAATCTTTTAAAGTGGCAAACATCATAAGTGTATGTAATTCACAATTTAAACAAAGTCAAAACTATTTTTTGTCTCTCACTGTTGACTACTGTGCATGTTTTTTTCCAAAATATGGTCTTATCGGGGACACTGGATGGGGAGGGACTTCGCCTCTCCATTAAGTGCATATCAGACAATCAGCATACCTCCCATGAACCTTTCCTTCTATCACTTACTTGGATTCAGATGTACTGCTGCAGCATTTTGAAAATAAATGTCCTTACTGTTCTCAGACCAGTGTTCTGCTTGTTGACACTTTAAAGTGAACGTGTCAGTACTGTTTGAAATGTTCACTTCACCAATCAGCTGTTTGACCTTCCTCACTGAAGTGTACATACTTAAAATGACTTATCACACAGTAATAACATAAACTGCACTGAACTTATTGCTTTACAGCAACATTGGTGAATAGGCAATCACTGATCATGTGTTCTATATCTGTGATTAAATAAATGGTCAATATGTACAGACTTTTTAAAAATTCTAATTGCATCCACTGGGATTCATTCATTCATTCATCTTCTAACCGCTTCATCCTCTTGAGGGTCGCGGGGGGGCTGGAGCCTATCCCAGCTGACATCGGGCGAGAGGCAGGGTACACCCTGGACAGGTCGCCAGACTATCGCAGGGCTGACACATAGAGACAAACAACCATTCATGCTCACATTCACACCTACGGACAATTTAGAGTTATCAATTAACCTAATCCCCAATCTGCATGTCTTTGGACTGTGGGAGGAAGCCGGAGTGCCTGGAGAGAACCCACGCTGACACGGGGAGAACATGCAAACTCCGCACAGAAGGGCTCCCACGCCCGGGATCGAACTGGCAACCCTCTTGCTGTGAGGCGAGAGTGCTAACCACCACACCACCGTCCCGCCCCCACTGGGGTTCAGTGAGTGATAAAAAAACAACACATAAAAACATAAGTCTGGAGTGGTAGGAAACACATTGCATCTTGTGCCAGGGTGAGAGTGGTTATTGTCATGGTGGAATTATTCTCAGAAAACTACAGCCTAGTTGATTTGTATTCCACAATGTTATTAATGTGTCCAACTGGTTATTATGTTGCCAGTAAAACTGGAAAATACAGTATTGACTCACACATCTAACTAGTTACAAGTAACTAAATTACAATAAATGTTATTGTTATCAGTTACTTAGAAAAATATGTAATTTAATTACAGTTACTAATCAAAATGTCAGTGATTACAAAGGGATCACATGGGAATATATTCTGTTTGGTTAAAAAGTTTATATGTAGAATAAAAGATTCATTCTGTTGCTTTGCATCGTTTTTGCCATGCAAGAATGTCTTCTTTTGGACAAAGGCTATTTTCGGAATTTGTTAAGCTTATTGCCCTGCTTAAAACATATGTTAATTTAATTAATCTAAATAGTTACATTACTTGTTACATTTTAAACAGGGTAACTGGTAGTCTGTAACCATTACATTTCCAAAGTAACCTCATCAACACTTAAAATGACGCCTGAATTTTAAAGTCTTGCAGTGAAGCTGCTGCACTTGTTACTGCTCCTCTAATAATAGTGCAGACTGGCAGGGGAAGTGGTAGCATGGATTGCTAGCATTGGACTGCTGAGCACCTCTACTGGTCTGGTAATGAAGCAGTCTGCATTCCTTATTTTGATGACTTGTGTGATCAATTGATAATGTGGCACTTAAGTTTTGAACGAACCGTGAGCATCCATATTTTTCTGTCTCCATCAGATAGAAAACGTCATTATGTTTGCCTAAACACCATGACGATTAACATTTCTGATGACATACCAAAGTCTGGGGGGAGGGGGGTTGTCCCATTTCATAAGTGAAGATTTCAACCAGTTCCCCTTATAACTGTTCAGAGGGGCAAAGGGGCACTCAAAAACTAGGGGAAGGAGTAAAAACAAGAAATGGGATTGAGCCTATGACATGATAAAATCAATAAATTAGCATGAGCTAAACCTGAGTCTTCACAAAGGACAAAGACGTGTTCACAACCTTCAAATAAAACTTAAAATCAGTTGTATGATTAGGCACTTCCAAGCTCTTGGTTTATTTTCTAGGGTCAAAGAAAGTACACAGACTAGAGGTCCCTTTATTTAGATAACATATATAATCTCTCATATTCACTCTGCAATTTGAGGTGACTTTCTGATGCATAAACCCCTTGGTCACCTCCTCTCCCACAATCACTGACTGATCACTCCCAGCCCTTTGCTACATACAATATCAGAGGGAGGCTATCTGTAATAAAGCAAATGTCTTTCACAAGATCCATGAGGTTGAGTAGCAAAAGTTGTGTGAAAACAGAGAACAGCTAAACAAATGCGAAAATAAAAGTCATAAAATTGAGGCAATATGAAATTAAGAGCAAAGTATGGTTCATGGTGAGAAGGCTTTGACAAATGTTTAAGAGCACAATGTCCACAAGACAGTGCAGCTGAACCATGAAGGATTTTGGAAAGCTGACAGTGCAATTGTGACAAAATGTTGTTTCAATTTGTGTCGGATACAAATACACAAGTATATACATCAACATCTGGAATGTGAGCCCATCCTTTGATTCTTCTGATTAGACTTTGGTGAGCGAGTTAGATCATCCATCAGATTTTTTAAAAGTTTAGTAAATACAGTGGATTTATTTTGAAAGCATTCGCAAGTAACTGCAAAGAAAAACTGAACATTTAAGCATCGCTGACAGTTCAGGAAATGCACTTGTTTGCCACTAAGCCCACGTTCACATGAGAAGATCAATATCTATTTCAGCTCTGTGCACTCAAGGTCTGGTCTGGAATATGTTAAGCCAGGTTTAACAAAGACTGGAGGCAGATGAAACTGCTTGCCTAGCTCCATTAAGTGAAAAAATACACTTAAAACAACTCTGAAGAAGCCTGATTTACATACTAGATATGGTGTGTTATCTGGTCAAGTATTGGGTTTGTTGACATTAATTGATACAGGGCTCTAACCTCAACACTGAAAACAGAACTTTTGGGATGCTGTTTGTCAATGCACACAGCGGGTTTTGGTCAGGAAATGGCTCTTACGTTCAATAAAAACATTAACGGAAGTACAGACAAGACATCAAATCATGTAAATGAGAGTTTGGGAAATTGCAAGACTTAAAGACACTTTGGTATTTTTTAATTTGGACCCTACTTTCTCATGCTTTGGGGTCTACATGACTAATGAACCGTTTTTAAAATTGGTCCAGTACTGGCAAGATCGCTGAAGCCGCCACAGCAGTAGCAAAACAGGCTGCAATGTAATCCCTGTGGAAACTGTGCACCATCAATTGACTTAATTTAAAGTAGGAAGGAATGATACTGGATTGTTTGCCTTTATCCAATATGCAGATATATACCAACTTATTTGATTGATACCCAATACAGATATCGATATATCTACTTTTTTTTCCCCAACCTAATTTTAGTGATCAAGTCTCTTCTGCAGTGGAATTAACATCATATTATGCATGCATACTCTTATCATGATGGCCCACCAGCAGATAGAGACATAAAATAAAATCCTTTCAATGTATGCAAAATAAAAAAAAGCACATCAGCCGATGTTGATATTTCATTTTACTGCCAATACCGATGACTTGTCGATGTTATCATGCATCCCTAATTTAAAGTGCTTGTTTTTGCCGCTGACAGGCTTAGACGATTATTAGAAGTGTCTGACAACATCTTAGACAGGACACTACAGAGAAGTA